AGTATAGGGGGTACCTTGCTCAATAGTAGTAACTGTGAGAGGGATCTCGGAGTCCTAGTGGACAATCACTTAAATATGAGCCAGCAGTGTGCTGCAGCTGCCAAAAAAGCCAACACAGTGCTAGGCTGCATTAACAGGGATAGAATCAAGATCACGTGAAGTATTAATACCACTTTACAATGCCTTAGTAAGGCCACACTTGGAATACTGCATCCAGTTTTGGTCACCACGATGTAAAAAAGATGCTGAGACTCTAGAAAGAGTACAGAGAAGAGCAACAAAGATGATTAGGGGACTGGAGGCTAAAACATATAAGAAAGGGTTGCTGGAATTGGGTATGTCTAGTTTAACGAAGAGAAGGACGAGAGGGGACATGATAGCAGTCTTCCAATATCTCAGGGGCTGCCACAAAGAAGAGGGAGTCAAGCTATTCTCCAAAGCGCCTGAAGGCAGGACAAGAAGTAATGGATGGAAACTGATCAAGGAGAGAAGCAACTTAGAACTAAGGAGAAACTTCCTGACAGTTAGAACAATTAACCAATGGAACAACCTGCCTCCAGAAGCGGTGAATGCTCCAACACTGGAAGTTTTTAAGAAGAGACTGGACAGCCATTTGTCTGAAATGGTGTAGGGTTCCTGCCTGAGCAGGGGGTTCGACTAGATGACCTCCAAGGTCCCTTCCAACTTTATTATTATTATTATTATTATTATTATTATTATTATTATTATTATTATTATTATTATTATTATTATTATTATTGGGAGTTAGTAATAGCGGGGAGTTATAATTATAATAACTAAGTGGAGATTTGAATCAGAAGTAATCTAATGCTCTAATTGCTACATTGTCTGATCACATATGAGGTCAAGAGTTCTAAGACTTCTTGAGCCATTTCCAAATATTAGCTTCTTTCAAATCCTCTTGCTTACATAATAGTTCTTGCATACTTCCACCAAGGCTTCCATTTTCCTTACACTCCATAGAAACAAAATGGTAATACCAGGGGCATTTGGAGGTGTGTTTCTGTGTGCGTGCATGCGTGCGCGCACACAAATCTTTCTTCTATAGGAGAAGTATTATCCACATAATAAAAAAACTCCAGAAATAAAAATATTAAATATTGGCAGGTAACGACCAAGGCCAGGTACTGTTCCTCACCTACTGTGCACCACAATGGCAGCTTTTGGCATTCCAGTTGTTCCAGAGGTGTAAATGTAGAACAGCCGATCTAAAAAGACAGCATAGCAGCGAGGGATGAGTTTGAGATCAGCTTCTCTTTGTTATTTCTACTTAAGAAGTTACCCATTTCAAGGAGACAGCTGCTTCAAATGCAGAGCACAGACCCAAAAGCAACGAGATTAGGCTATCTCCCCGAAAATAATTCACAGCCTGGGTTGTCAGAACCTGTTTTACTCATCTGAACCAAGTACACAGCCCTAAAGGTGTAAAATTTTTTGCCTCCACTTCTCTGTGGAACTAGGCCAGGACAACTAGTAACATGAATATAGAGGAAAGGTCACATAAAACTCTCCCTGCAGCACACCTCACCAGGAAGGGGGGTGGGTGGGGGTGGGGCAGGAACTGCCAACACCCTAGGCTCTTTCTCTCTTCATCAGAAGGCTGATTGCAAGGAAACATACCATCTAATCCCTTGGTTGAAACATGAGTTGGAGGAGATTTCGATGTCTGCGCCAGCAGAGGGTCCAAGTGCTTAGTATCTGGAGAGCAGGATTCAGGTACAAAATCTCCGGAACAGAACCTAGTCATATTTTTTCCCAGGATGCCGTTCACTTCAGAGATTGCTGCAACATAAAACCAGCCCTTTTTATTAAAAATGCAAAATAGATGGTGCCCATTTCCATAACCATAAGAAGAAAAAAATCAATAACAGTATTCAAATTATGATGACTGCTCGCAGATTATATCCTGTCTTGCAATATCTTACCATCATGTCAAACACTACCATATCCAACACTGGAAGTTTTTAAGAAGAGACTGGACAGCCATTTGTCTTAAATGGTATAGGGTTTCCTGCCTGAGCAGAGGATTGGACTAGATCAGGGGTCCCCAATCCCCGGTCCGTGGACCAGTACCAGGCTGTGGCATGCCAGCAACCGGGCCGCACAAACAAGCAAAGCCCCATCCGTGGGATGCAGGCAGCACACAAAACCACACAGTCCGCGGAAAAATCTCTCTCCACGGAACTGGTCCCTGGTGCCCAAAAGGTTGGAGACCTCTGGACTAGATGACCTCCAAGGTCCCTTCCAACTTTATTATTATTGTTGTCGTTGTCATCGTTGTCATTATTATTATTATTATTATTATTATTATTATTATTCTGAAAAGTTTTGTCTTTTTAAAATTGGGGTATTCCACATGCAGATTAACATCGCAGTTCTTCATGTGGTTAATATTACAGGTAGTCCTCGACTTACAACAGTCCACTTAGTGACCGTTCCAAGTTACAACGGCACTAAAAAAAGTGACTTGACCACCCAGGGTCACGTGATTTACATTCGGATGCTTGACAACTGATTCATATTTATGATGGTTCCAGTGTCCTGGGATCATGTGATCACCCTTTGCCACATTCTGACCAAGCAAAGTCAATGGGGAAGCCAGACTCGCTTAACAACGGTGTCACTAATTTAACAACTGCAGTGGTTCGCTTAACCAATGTGGCAAGAAAAGTCGTAAAATGGGATGACACTCCCTTAACAAATGTCTCAAGTAACAACATAAATTCTGGGCTCAGTTGTGATCATAAGTTAAGGACTACTTGTATACAAGATTGCCTAATTAAATGTATAGTTCTGTTTTAATTACTATTCTTTCAAACCATGCAGGGGAACACACAACTGTTATAAGAGTCTAAAGTCCCCTACTGGTTCATGTGAAAAGAGACTGTTTTGAGGGTTTTATATTCTTCCTAAATCCATTTACCCCAAAAAGCACGCAGCCCAGAGGACTACAGTCCAAATTTAACAGAAAGTGAATTTATGTACTGAAGGCTTTGTGGAAGATGTCTTTGGAATCAAGATATACTTTGCGCTCAGAGACAAAGGAAATTGTATTTCTTTCCTCATTAGTTCCCATTCTTTTGTCATAGCTGAAAGTCAATTATATGGCCTCATTTTATAAGTAGTCCTTGTGTTAATTGGGACTGGAAACAATTATAAGTTGAGTTGCCCACATAACCAAAAGTCTGGGGGGGCGTTTGGCCTTTTTCATAGTGGTCATTAAGCAAAAGCCAGGGTTGTTAAGCAAACCCATTCACTTTAAAGGACATTTTTTGCCAGAAACTGGAAAAAGATGCTGGAAACTGGCACACCACAACTGGTCCTAAAGCTGACCCACATGACTACTGGGAGGAGCATGAATCTTTAGAAGAGCTGGGGATGCTTTACATTCTGTAGCTGTCATTACTTCAGTCATATAACAACTAATTGTAAATCAAGGACTGCTTGTATTTTCTTTTTCCCTAATCATTTTTTCTCCCAGGGATTAACATGGCAATGATTTTTTCCCCCATGTTTACTGCTTTTATTTCTGTGCTAGTCTTCCCCCTATCCTTTGTTATTGTTCAAAAAATAATATATCTGATATACCAAATCAAAACGTTTGAATTTCCCTTCCTAAAGTTTTAAAATCTCTCCTTGGAGAAAGAGAAGAGGCCCAACCTTTCTATAGAATCTCAGAGAACCTCCTTATAAGCTAGGTTTTATAACAGTATCCTCAAAGGTTTAGGTTAGCTAGCATATGTTTCATTTTTAAAGACAGATCTTTTATAGCATTTAAAAAAACCTGATTTTTTTGTGATAACTTTACTGAATGAGAAAGCAACACTGATTTAATTATTTTGTCTGGTCTGGTAATAAGATGATGAATAAGTCATCTTATTCAAGTGCCACACAACAAACTACGTATCTACCTGTTTTTTGGAAAAGGACATCCTATTCCAGGGGTAGACAACCTTGGCTCTTTTATGACTCGTGGACTTCACCTCCCAGAATTCCTGAGCCAGCATGGCTGGGAGTTGAAGTCCACGAGTCATAAAAGAGCCAAGGTTGCCTACCCCTGCCCTATCCCATTTCATAGAAGCAAGCCACAGATTTGGAGAATCATCTGTCTAAATGACATGTTAATTATTACTTATAAAAAGGAAATATCTATTCCTCAAATGTATAACAAAGGGCATCTGGTAACTTCTCCCTATCTTGAATGAAAATCTTCCAAGCAAATAAGTATATTAATAATACAGAATATTTATCTGTGCTGGGAGAGGCAGTCTGGCTTATTGCTTAAGGTATTGGCCTATTAATTTGGAGACACTGAGTTCTAGTCTTACCTTAAGCACAAAGTCAGCTGAGGGGATCTTGGGTCAGCCAGTCAGTCTCACTCAGCCTTAGAAAGGGCACACCACTTTTGAAACAATGCAAAAAAAAAACTTCTGGGACTTGTCCAGGCAGTTGCCAGGATTCAAGGTTGAGTTGAAGCACACACACACACACACACACACACACACACACACACACACACACACACACACCTCCCCTGTGCTGACTGGACTGTATTCTGGGAAGTAGAATGGAAACAGTTGTCCAAGATCTTAGCAAGCAACTATCTTGCTTCATTATGAGCACTATTCACACAAATAACGTAGAATCTTTCCCCTTCCTTCTCTTGTAACACTGAGCATGTCAGCATTGCTTGAAATGAATATTTCATGATTAATTAACCAAGTCAATCCCAAAGTCGCTTTTTTCATGTTTTTTTTTCTTTGAAAACATTTCGCCTCTCATCCAAGAATCTTCTTCAGTTCTAACTTGAGTTGGAACCATGACTGGGAGGATTGAGAATCTCCACAGACCTCCCCAATTCAATCTAATGACAAGTGCAAAGAGGTCATTCACTTTGGCAAGCAGGCATTTTCTCTAAAGAAATTCATTTTCTCCTCACCAGACTATATAGTTTCAAGACAAGAATGAAAACGGCAGAGGTTAGGAAATCAAACCCAAATATATCATACCTTCTGATAGCTCCCCACCAAAGATGATGGCTTTTGCTCCTGAGGTTTTCACACAGTAAGTCAATGAGTCAAGACGCAAGTTGAAGTTGATGAGAGCTGCCTCAATACCCACTTTGGCCATCCCCAACCAGAAGCCTACAAATTCTGGTCGGTTCTCCATGAAGATAGCGATTACATCACCCTCACGAAAACCTTGCTGGTAAAAGAAGTTGGCCACACAGTTGGAATATTCATCCAGTTGCTGGAATGTCCACTTGTCATCAGTAGCTTCATAAATCAAGGCCACTTTGTCTGGATGTTTCCAGACTACTTTCTGGAATATCTTGGGAATATTATTTTTGGCTTTCCTGTGATGATACAGTTCATATTTGACTCGCAAAAGCACCGAGAGTCCTCTGAAAAAGGGACAAGGAAGTATTAATTATACGGTAGTGATTTTAATTGTTTGAGGCATAGATGCAATGCATGAGACATCTGCTTGGTCAGTTCCTCAGTCATCCTGACAAAGAATCTGATTTTATACAATTAATACCTCTTGTATCTGGCCTACAGTCATATTCAGGCCAAAGCTATTACAATGGTGTATCCAAGCATTTCCCCAAAAGAATACATTTTAGATAAAGTTGCAGAATTCTTGCTTTACTCTATTTATTCAAATTTTATTTTACTTCATCAGGGGGGGAAAAAAGCTCAGCAACCCATATAAACACTGATTTAGTCATCTATTATTATGCAGTTTCAAACATATTGTGGCACTTTAAAGGACTGAAAACTAGGGAAGAAGGGAGGTCAAGATGCTCAAAATGTGATGCAAAACTCGCATTCCTCAAATTAAATCAAGCTCATTTCTGAATGGATGGATTCATCACTGCGTTTTGAAAATATTTCCTAATGAAGTCAAGTATTAAAAGAATGCTAATTGCTTGCTAGCTGGGAAAATCATTCCTGTGATGAAACAGAATATCTTCGCAATTAGGAAGGTAGCACCCTACAAATTGGTGGATGGGAGACAGCTACAGCAGGTTTGATTGTTTCAATTTATAGTATATAACCATTCGTTTCACATTTGTGACTCTGAGCAGCTTCCAATTAAAACATAAACAATACCAAAAAACAAGTAATAAAACAAATATGCCATCAATACAAAATGTTAAAACAATAAAAACAATGAAAAGCATACAATACAATCACTGGGAGACCATATGGTAATTCAAGAGCCATACAATCATTTTATGGGCTTCGGACTACTCTCTGGTTCCCAGACCAGATAGAAAAACCACAACAGCTACTTCTTGATGAGACAGAACAATGTGGGATAGAGCGTATCACCACTAGATGGATTCACAAATGGCTGATCAACCACACTTAGGGGGTAGTCCTCAGTAGAATTACATGTACATGGAGGGAAACATGCAGTAGGGTACCTCAAGGTTCTGTCTTAGGCCCAGTATTCTTCAATATCTTCATAAATGATCTAGATAACTCATCAAATTTGCAGATGACACCAAGCTGAGGGGAATAGCTAACACTTTAGATGATAGACTCAAAATTCAGAAGCACCTTGGCAGACTGAGCACTGGGCCCTATCCAACAAAATGCAATTCAGTGGTGAGAAAAGTAAGGTCCTATACATAGGCAAGAAAAACCAAATGCACAAATATAGGTGGCACCTGGCTCAATAGCAGCAACTGTGAGAGAGATCTACGGTAGGTGTGCTAGTAGACAATCACTTAAGTATGAGCCAGCAGCATGCTGCAGCTGCCAAGAGAGCTAATGCAGTCCTACGGTAGGTTGCATCAACAGAGGGATAGTTTCAAGATCGTCGCTTCACAATGCAATGGTGAGACCACACATGAAACACTGTGTCCAATTCTGGTCACCACAATATAAAAGAAGATACTGAGACTCCAGGAAAGAGTCCAAGAAGAGCAACAAATATGATAAAGGATCTGGAGGCTAAAACATAATCAACAACTGAAGGAACTAAGTATGTCTAGTCTAAGAAAGAGAAGGACTGTGGGTGATATGATAGCAATTTTTTCAGCCTGCTTGAGAGGCTGTCACAGAATAGAGGGGGTCAACTTATTCTCCAAAGCATTTGAGGGCAAGTCAAGAAGTAATGGTGGAAGATCGTCAACGAGAGAGCCAACCTAGAATTAAGCAGAAATTTCTTGATAGAGCAATTAATCAGTGGAACAGCTTGCCTCTGGAAGTTGTGGGTGGTCCACCACTGGAGGTTTTTAAGAAGAGACTGGATCACCACTTGTCTGGAATGGTATAGGATATCCTGCCATGGGCCGGGGGTTCGACTAGAAGACCTCCTAGGTCCCTTCCAACCATATTATTCTATGTTCTATATTCCAACTTCAAGCCCTTCCAGAAGGCAATCAAGGTCAGGGCCAGCCAGATCTCAAGGGGAATAATGTTCTATAGGGCAAGAGCAGTGGCAGAAAGGGCCCTAGGTCTCATCAGATGACACTTTCTAGTGGACTGAACCCAGAACATGCCTCTTCTGCTAAATCCAGTAGAAGGAGTAGATGTCACTGAGGAAAGTAGTCCTTCAAATAACCCAGCCTCATGCCATGTTGGGCTGAGGGTTAAAAACCACTTTAATTTTTGAATCTGAGAAAGAAAATATAGGGAGAATCTTGCTGGTTTTAGCAAATGAAAGTGAGCTAGCTGAAACAATTATTATTTGGGGAAAGGGGCTACCGATTCGTGTCTGTCGTCGATGCGACACATAAATCTCTTTGTAAAGACGTAAGTGATACGAGATAAATATATGAACATTTGTAGATTTCCTTAAATTAAAAATTTATGACGGTGACCTTGATGATAGTTATATACACCGTATTTGTACATACTCATGAGTCTAAATCGAGTCAAATATATTGAGACGTGTGTTGGGAGGACAGTGATTAAACAGTTCTTACACTAAGAACACACTCCACAGCTTGCCTCTTTCCTGCTCATAACCACTATTCAGAGCTATTGACATATAAAACCAAGGAATGAAAAAAAAGAGAAACACTTCAGTCTAAATTCAGTGTTGCAAGCCTCACATTCAAGACTATTTTCAACAATGAACAGCTTCAGCGATACAAAGAAAACGTAACTCAAAAAAGAAGTCTTAGGCAGTTTGTGAGAATAAGAAATGTAACAAAAGTGTAAGTGAAATGAGTTATATAAAGAAGGCATCTGAGTTTGTTTACTTTTTTTTTTAAAAAAAATATTCATCTGCAACAATAAAGTTAGACTTTTTGGAAAATGTTTCCAACCAATTATTTTGATTGCCAGCTAAACTATGACCTCTGCTTGCCATTGGAAATGCTACATGTAGAAAACTCAGTAACTGGGAGATATTATTGGCCACATTTTTTTTCTACTTGTTCCAGCCAATCGCATTTAGCTCTGTTCCCTCCCATGTACATCTATATCTCTGTTTACTAATCCAGGGCTTTTCAACCTTTTCACCCATTGTACCACTTTTAGGATATGGCAATATCCGAGTACCACCAGTCGCCTAGCAAGGTGTCAAAAACTTGACCCCCCCCAAAAAAGGAAAAAAGTGATAAAAGTACAGGTAGTCCTCGACTTACAATAGTTCGCTTAGTGACTGTTCGAAGTTACAATGGCACTGAAAAAAGTGCCCCCCAAGCCACAGCCGAGCAAGACACCTGCCTGCCCACCCGGTGGCACTCTTCCTCCTGTCCGAGGTTTTCATTGTTGTGAGCATTTGTGTTGAGGATTGGCAGCATGGGTGGTGGTGGGTGTTTGGCCTTTATTCCCCCCGTCTGCTGAGTGATTGCAGCAGGTTTTGGTCACTTCACATGACCCTGGGACACTGTGACCGTCATAAATATGAATCAGTTGCCAAGCAAGACCCTGGAGAGGCTGCAACATTCCAGCTGATTGGCGCTTCTTCGGGGCTCAGCAGAAGCACCAGGATCAGCGCTGAGCTCCAGCTGGAGCCTGGCGCTGATCCTGGCGCTTCCGCTGAGCCCTGACAGCCCCGAAGAAGCACTGATCCTGACGCTTCTGCTGAGCCCTGACAGCCCTGCAGCTCCAGCCATCTCTTGCTCAGGCTTGTGCGGTGCTGCCACCGGTTCAGCTCATTCCCCTCCCCCACTACCACTTTTCTAGGATGGTCGCGTACCACCTGCCAGGTGCCAATGTACCACAGGTGGTACCCGTACCACTGGTTGAAAAGCCCTGTAACTAATCAAACAAAAGATATGAAATACAATAGAGGAAATTAATTCAGAATATCCTTCATCCCAAATTGAGTAAGGTCTCAGGTTTAATCCCTTGTAAAATATAAAGCCTGTGGTCCAGAAGCTGTGGAGTTGTGATTTGTCAGAGAAGGCAATTCTTTATCAAGTGGACCATGACTCATTTGTTATAAGGTCATTTTAGACATTCCCATGGGGCTGAAACAGACATATGGTATAAACTTTGAACAAATGGAGGCAAAGCATATTACAACCAATGCAATATCCACTTCTAAACATCAAGCAGTCTGACCCTGTCCACGTTCCTTGATATATTTAAGTGATAAATTCATATGGAATACTACTATAAGGAACTAGTGTTAACAGCGTAACGTGTTTTTTCAAAACACATTAAGGGTTAATTGTGAAGTGTCTTTTAGAATGGACGGACAGGTGTAAAATATAAACAAAACCAGCTACACTTTCTAGCTAGCCTTACTCTTGTACCACGTTAGTTAAGTTTTCGATATAAAAGTCCCAACAGAAAAATATCACGAAAACGGTCACAAGGTCAAGACAATGACTAGCTGTACTGCACTTAGCACATTTATTTTCCTCAAATGCGGAGTAATAATGGAAGGTGTACTTTTATGATTGGTTAAAGAAGAACACAGAAGATTCCACAGAGGACCAAGCAGTAGCAGAGATAAATGACCTCTTAAAAACTCATCTATCCCTCCTCACTCTGAATGCCCTAATCAGGAGCTTAGGCAGATGAGGAAAGAGAGGCTGGTTTAGTAATAGGCTCTTGGCATTTTGCCCAGCAAAGCTGGCCTATCATAGTGACCCAAGCTGTGCCAGGAAGGAAACAGAGGAGCCTTTTCAGGCATGAATTGCCCTTTCCATATTCTTAAGAGGCGCTTTATTCTCGGCTGTTATTTCTCACTTGCCATGCAACTGGGAGGAAGTAGAGATCCAGAGGGCACTGACAGTCACTATAACAGCCTTTGTAAGAGCAACAGCCCTAAATCCTTTTAACAAGAAAAAGATCCTAAGGGGACATGCAAAAAACTAGGATGCCAAATTCAGTTACAGAGCAACAGGAAAGCAAAGTGTTAGACATAGGAAAGATATTGGGAAGATTTCACAGAGGACCAAACATTAGTAGAGATAAATGACCTCTTAAAACTCATCTATCCCTCCTCACTATGAATGTCCTAATCGGGAGCTTAGTCAGATGAGGAAAAAGAAGCCCCAATTAAAAAAAAATCATCTGTGTAGAAATAATAAGAAACCAATTAAGTACACGTAGAGTTTAGACATAGATTTCATTTCCTAGATAAACATTATAGCCAAGAAGTGAAATCCATTCCCATCTTGACACAGGCATACATTTTCTATAACATATAAATAAGAATTCTCTGCTATTGGCTGAGCATAAACTTCATATTATGAATAGTTACAAAATTCTTCAGCTGTACACAAGGCTACAGAAAAACCAAAGGAAGAAGCAGCAGGTAATGTCTACTTAATCTTTTTTTTTTAAGTGGTTTTCCCTCCCAGAAAGAAAGCAGATTGAGAATGGTGGATTTAAACAAAATCTGGCTCACATATCACCATACTAAGCTATAATATGGCTTACTTGATTCATATTTAGCACATTGCATATGCTAATACCAGCCATATTTTATTCAATAAAACATGACTATGCAAATTGCGGCTTCACATAACGTACAGATTCAGCCCTAAACATGTCTCTTGCTCTTTAACTTTCAATGAGTGCTTTTCCTTTAAAAAAAATGCAAGACAGCTGATCACAATAGGTATGGTCTGGGGATCAGCATTTTATTAGTACTATTTATACACTTTAAATGTGTGTTTCAACAACCAGCTGTCTTGAATCCCCTCAAGAAGAGCATTTCTCTTTAAGGTACATATGCACATTATAGTATTTGGCTTCTGGAACAGACAGGTAAATCCTTCACAGGCTGTTTTCTTACCTATTTTATACACACAAGATTTAATAAATGGAAAACAATTAGCTTGGAATACTATAATTCCCACCTTCCTCTGCTTAACAAAGTCTATTTACTATAAGCATCCATTTATACTTCTATGACTTAAAAAAAATTCACACTTGGGAGGATAGTTGGGAAGACAAAGCCAAAAAGTATTTATAGTAGTCTTTCAAAAGAGTAGTTATCAGAGCTCTTGATCAGGGGAGAATTCACATCCTCGTCCCATGAAGGGATTGAGGCTATACAGATTCATTATCTGGGGCAACAAACATCTTTGGTGAAAACAAACCATCCTGATATCATAAGAAGGCATTGTACTTACAGTAAATCTCTCAGGGCTGTCTTAAAGATGATGCGGAGAAAGTTCCACCCACCACTGCCAATATAAATGCCCAAAGTGACTGCAATACTCCATGTCCAGGACACACCGAAGAATCGCATGAGGCCCAGTGAGCCAAGAGAAGCAGTACAAACCCCAATTGTGTGCATTCTGCAGAGAGAGAAAAAAAAGATAAGCTTCATGTAAGGTGCTAGGGTAATTTTATTGTAAAAAAAAAACACCAGTTAAAATAAACAGAAGATGATCACAGGGAGACAGGCAAACTGGCCATATAATATGGATGGAGCAAAGGTGAAAGGAGCAAATGAAAGGGGCCGGCTAAAGTCTGGATTTATTTATTTGATTTATATTCCACTTTCCTCTAGTACAGGGAATCCTCGACTTAAAACCACAACTGAGCCCGAAATTTCTGTTGCTAAGTGAGATGTGAAGTTTTGCCCCATTTTACAACCTTTCTTGCCACGGATGTTAAGTGAATCGCTGCAGCTGTTCAGCTAGTAACACGGTCGTTCAGCAAATCTGGCCTCCCCGTTGACTTTGCTGGTCAGAAGGTTGCAAAAGGAGATCACGTGACCCTGGGTCACCGCAACCATCATAAACATGAGTCAGTAGCCAAGCGGCTGAATTTTGATCATGTGATTATGAGGATGCTGCAACGGTCATAAGTATGAAAAATGGTCATGTGTCACTTTTTTCAGTGCTGGTGTAACTTCAAACGGTCACTAAATGAACTGTTGTAAGTCAAGGACTACCTGTATCTCAAAACAGTAAGATTAATACTCTTTCCTCCCGTTTTACTCTAACGGGGATCCTATCAGAGAAGCTGTGTTGAAAGATAATACCTGGCCCAAAGTCCTCCACTGGACTTCCATACCTGAGTGGAAACTTGAACCTGGTCTTGGTCCAGCATCCTAATTATATACCACATTTCTTTATCAGAGAAAATAAAAAGTACACAACTACCAGAATAAATTCAGAAGGACCTTTCCGGGTCAAGTTACACTGCTGTACTGTACTAAGATTGTGGTTCCCATTAAAAATTATCCAGAAAGTTTAGCTGATGTTGTTCACTGTACTTTTTCAAAAACTGAATCATAGTTATTTGATTTGCTGCAGTATCTTCTGTGTGCCTACAATAACTATGGCAAATATCTTTTCTTCCTCACTTTTAGTGTACGGTAATATTGTTATGACGTTTATGTAAGTGTGTAAAGAAAGGTATGTGGTAACAAAACGTGAGTTTAAATAATACGTTTTAAGAAGATATTAATGAAAAGCAGTAATACAGTATAGAAGTATGAACAATTTGAGAACAATTCATAAGTAACAGAAAAGATGGAAACAGTTCAGTTTTTGCCTGAAACCAAATTCTCCTATTCTTTCCTACTTTTCTTAATTGAAGTCAGAGGCCAAAGGTCTAATGTATTTTCAAACACTTTTCTGATCACATAGGGAAGCATTCACCTTTCCTTTCCTACAGAGTTGGCTATTTTTTTGCCAGTTGCAGCTGTACTCAAAATAACGCTGTTTGTCATATATATGCTGAAGATGAAGATACAATTGAGCACATGCTCAGCACAGAAATTTTTGGTCCTCCCACAAATGCTTTTATGCAGAAATCCACTCCTATTTTTCCCAAGCATTATTTGTCAGTAATCTAGTCTGAATGGAAAATGCTTTTTAGTTGCAACTGTTACTAAGAGTTCATCTTCACTGAAAAAAAGGTAATTACTTTTTTCATTAGTAAACAATGAAGAAATACTAGTCACTCAACTGCAACTTATCCAGCAATTAACCAGTATAATTAGTTCATCCTTCCTTGAATTTTAATTATTAAATATTTACAATGTCTCTGAAGTCATGCAATCTGATTTTGATCACTTCCCTAACCTCAGTTTCAGTGTAATATGCAACAGAGAGGCTATAATAGCAGCAATAGAACTCAGAGCTGCCTCAAAGAAAAAGAGAAAGCCAGGCAGTCTAACAAATGTGATCAAAGTGCTGGTTTTAACATTCAAACCCTGAAAGAAACTAGAGACCATTTTATTTAAAAGAATGCCACAGACTCTGAGCTCATCAAGGGAGTAATTCCTCTGCTGCACAGACCCACATTTTGTGATCAGAAGATAACTGAATAAACAAGTCCTTACAGACAGGACTTTCTGTGAAATCCCAATTGAGACAAGTCTTTTGACAGATAATTTATGGTATGATTCTATTTGTTCTACACAAAAGAAAGTTCCACTGGAATAAATATTTAGTCTCAGGTAATTGAACAAAGAATTGAGGCCAGACACTACTATTTAGACAAGTAGACTATTGTCTTTACTGCAAAACCCCTTGTTAAACTGCTAGGAAGGAAATGTATTTTTAAAGAAAATACATTCTGTAAGCCAAATCAGCAAAACTACAAGTTAGATAATTGCAGTCATATCACATAGTAAATACTAAGAAATGATATCAAAAGTAGCAAGAGTAAATTATCTGGGTGCCTTCCAGTTTCAAATATAATAAAACTGATGCAGTATGGCCAATCGGCATGGATATAGGGATTGGGATGGCACCCATTTGGCCTACTAATGAGAGTTCGTATTATTCTGCTGAGATGTTTCCTGCTGCTTCCAAAGCACTTAACTAGGAAAAATGGGACATTGGCAAAAGTTGGGCCAACAAACCAGGTGTGTACAAATCCTTGAATGCATTTTGAGAATGTCTGGCATTTTGTCACAATAGCCAAAGAATGATCTGAGGGATCAGGAAAGCTGTTAATTTAGAATTTTAAAAGCAAAAATTAAATATAGTTTAATGCAGTTCTTTAACTTTTGTTATAAAAATAAACTATCAACTTTATAAATATATAAAGTGTATCAATATTTATTCACAAAGTTTGTAAAACATCCCAATCTGAAGACTCTAGGCAATATACTGGTAGTCCTTCTTTTGTGACTACAACTGGAACTGGCAATTCAGTCATTAAATAAATGAAACTATGGGAATATTAGTCAAAAGTTACTTTTTCATTACCATCATAACTACAAACTACAAAGACAGCCACTAAACAAGAGCTACCTGTATAACAAAGCAATTATATAAAAAGCAGCACCATAAAAGTAATCAACTCCCCAAGATTAATGTTCATTAACATGTATTAGGATTAAAAGGAGAATGGAACAAAACTGTTTTATCCAGGGCTTTTTTTCTCACAGAATGCCCAGAACGGAGTTCCGGCACCTTTTTTGGATGGAACCTTATAGGGTAGGCAAGGTGGGTTGTATGACGTGTGTGAGTTCTGGCACCTTTTTTTTATTTTTAGAAAAAAAAGCACTGGTTTTATCTATGAAATGCCAAGAAGGGAGATGCTGCAAGAACCTCTTAGGGAAATGAAAGCAAAACAATGGGGACCACAATGCTTTCTATTTCTCACATGGGTGGAGACTCTCAGCAGGCTTTCTCAAAATATTTGAACCATCTTACCAGGACTCAATTTGCACAGCTGGTGATATGGCATCCAAGACCTTGGAGGTGATACTCAGTATTTTTGAGTTGGATCTGGAAGCCTACTGTTAATCAATGCAGGAATTTCAAGGAAGGTGTTGCCCCTTGTTGACTTGCCAGTTGTTTATGCATCATATTCTGGTCCAGGTGTGGCTTCTGGGTCATTGCCAAAACTGCTCTATGTGGAGCACACTATAGTAAGCCAACTACAATCAAGTTCTGTCAACACCCTGGTCCACATTGAGTTATAAGGGGTGCACCATCAAAATTGTGCAAAGGGCCTCCTGGACACAGCATTCACCAGCTATTTGTGAAGCTATAAACCTAGAAGTCCAACCAGATCACAATCAACTACTCTAGGAGAGCTTAACCCTATCAAGAGTAGTTACTGCTGTTATCAGATTGCACAGATGTTTACTGGCACATAGCAGCTCAATTCTTACAGGATTTAATCTGAACTTGTTTCATCCCATTCAATGTGTGCTGTGATTAAAATAAATAAAATAAATAATAAACCCTTTATTATCAAAGTATAACATGTATACAGTGAAATTGGCTAAGCCTCCCTCTGTGCCCCCCCTCACCACAAACTCACGGTGACTACAAACCCCAAACTTATTTCACTCTGTGAACTAATTGCACATCACGCCAGCCTCACGAGAATTAAAAGATTAAAAGAGAATATCAGATAATCCTAACAGAATAAATCATCCAAAATTTCATCTTCCTTACTATAATCTAAAGATGAACCTTCAGCTTCTCAGAAGAATTGTAGCAGAATGGAACGATATTCCAAACCTTCTGATATAAGGTCTTGGAAAGGGGTTAAGTGAATTTTCAAAGGACAAGAAACAGACAAGTGATCTATACAATTCTCCATAATTTACTATTATTTGCCGAAGACTATTCTTAAATTCAGCTGAAAGCAAACAAACTATAAATATGAAAGCTTTATGGAATTTATTCTGTAAATATCAAGTGCAGATAGTGGAAGTCTAAAAGATGTGTGCAATTTGCATAAAGTTAAAGTATCTGCTCTGAGAAACTTCACCCACCTTGGCTGATCTCAAAAAAGCTGGAGATCAAGAAGCAATGAAGTGTATTCATCAATGGCTCCTCACTAATCTGAAAAGAAGTAACAAATGGAATAACACAATGTCCTGCCTAGGCGCAGTACTGACCTTTATAGATAATCCGAATAAAGGAGGAAAATAGTTCTGCAAAACAACTCAAAGCGGGTAGGGGAGTTCCATATTTAAACAGTCAATTGCATAGATCCCTGATGGCTGACATCTTCCATGACAGCACAGGATGTGAAAAAGATTTGGGCCATTTAATAGAACACACTAAACTTTAGCACCTATAATGTGCAATTCCAATAAAAGGTTCCATTCAATTCTGTTTTGGTTAAATTTTACCTGGAGTACTGCATGTATTTATGAAGACTATAATTTTAAACAGAATATTGACAAATTGGAACATGTCCAGTGCAGAGTAACATAAATTGTTACGGCTAAGTTACTTGTGGAAAGGTTAAAGAGATTGTTCTGTGTGGAAAGAGAACTAGGAGATGAATGATATTTATCTCTAAATACCACAAGGCTGGCAAATTTATTTCTTTTCTTCCACAGGGTAAGATCAGAATTATTAATTTCCAATGATAAGGAAAAGTACAGTATTTAGATTTTCTCTCGAAATAAATTTTTCAGATTGTGGAACAAGCTACATAATGGGAAATAAATTTATTTTTGAAAATTTAAAAGAAGGGCCTTGAGAAACATGTAATTACTTCTACTGCATCAGATGATATATGATATTTGAGGATGGAAACATGGAGCTTCCATATTCAGAGGCAGCATTCCTATAAATAACAGATGACGGAGCCAAAGATAGCTGTTATCTTAGTACACTGCTCATAACATCTTAAAAGAATTTATCCAAACAGAAAGTTAGATCAGATTGGACTTTAATTCAATACAGTAATTTTCTAATATTTGTAAGAAAATATTAAAGTTACTTCTATAATTATCTAGGATTTTACTATTTCTGGCCATAAGAAGCAAGGATCAATTTGATGCCTATATTCCCAATTAGTCAAGTTTCTGCCAGTAAAAATTACAGCAAACCATACTGCAATTCTGCTTTATTATACCAGGAAATAAATCAAGTTGAAACAGGGCAAATTTTCCACTACTATCTTGGAACAGTACTTGAAAGCAAAATGTTGTTACTCGGGGCTGAATCAAACAAGCACAGACATATATATATATAGTTTCGGAAAGAGATATACATCTACCTGAAAAATACTACCTCTGCCAAGATAGTGAATAGCTCTAAAAACACCAACAGCTAGAGTTCTAATCCAAATCAGATTAAAAATATCACCTCAGATTTAAACCACCCCCTTTGAATTACAGCACAAAGAACAGTCTATCTCCATAAGCTTGTTATATATGTTATCATTTTAATAAATGAATCTCAGAGACATCTTATGCTTCAGTATCATTTGTGTAGCAAGCCCCTGCTCTTATTTTGCTCATTAGACATAAACAAATCTCAGGATATTATTTTTAGCTCTACAGGCTAAGGTGATCAATATCTTTTTTCCTGAGACTATACCCAGCTTACATTCAATAGTTGCAGAGCACTGTTCTTCTGAAGCAATTTACTATTTTTATTCAGTATGCATTTACATCTTCATGCAAGACAAGACCTATTCTCAATGACTATGGAGATTCCCAGTCACCTAGGTCATGCGTGTCCCAAAGGTGCTTTTTCAGGAGGCAACTGGACTTCCTGGTTTTTCTTTGAAGACATTTCGCTTCTCATCCAAGAAGCTTCTTCAGCTCCGATTGGATGGTGGGGATCCACTGTCCAGTCCACCATCCAGTCAGAGCTGAAGAAGTTTCTTGGATGAGAAGCGAAACGTCTTCAAATAAAAAACAATAAAGTCCAGTTGCCTCCTGAAAAGCACCTTTGAGAAAAACCTACGGTATTCTCCCAACACAGCAACCCTGTGAGGTCGACTAGGGCTGAAAGCGATTGATCTCAACCGGCCCTTCCTCGAGTTTCCGTAAGCTAGAAGAGGACTAGAATCTTGGTTTCCTTGCTCCTAATGAAAACTTTCACCAACACCATCACCAGATCCTCAAAGAATCCACAATAAACACCAACTGATTCCAGTTAATCGGGGCTCCCCTCAACCTAGTCTGCTTCTATGACAAACATACAACGACATTAATTCTATTTTACGCGTTGATCCTTTCTGTCTAACCACGAAGACCGCCAGCTGACTGACCCACAACTGGGACCGACCCTGTTAACTTTGCCAGCGCCACCTCCCTTTTTTTGGCGCCAACCTGGGCACGAATTTCCATCCCCGCTACATGTGTTCCCGGTTCCGTTGCCAGAGCAACGTTCCAATTCCCGGCTCCCCTCCCGTCGCTACGGTGTTGCGACGCTGAAAGCTGCTTTTCCATCTCGCGGCCAGCCGCTCCTTCTCAGGTGGCAGCCGCTTATTCCCCGTCTCTCTCCACCCAGCACCCCATCCTCCGCCCGCCAGGCGAATCCCCTCGTCCCCATACCTCGCGCCTACAGCCGTCGCACTTGAGATTCCGACACCTTCGTTCCCCTTCACCCGACTGCTTCTCCTCCCGCTGTGGCCACAAGCGCCCCTTCGAGGCGCTGGAGGAGGACCAGGCAAGGAGAACTCCGCCTCCGATCATAGAGTTGCAGCGCGGCTGCCGCAAAACTGATTTTTTTTTTTTTTTTTGACAATAGAGAGGGCGAAGTGGACAAAACAGAACAGAAAGAGCACTGAGGCCTCACGGGAAAGCACGCTCTTGCGAGGCTCGGTGACCATGGCAACAAAGCTCATCGCAACGGAGGGGGGAGGCGTTGGCATTCAGTCGCCGTGGTCTTCGTTTGTTACGAAGTTCCGTTTTTTCTTTCCGCCGTTTCCAACTCCCGTGTTCTCAGATCGCCGAGTTCTGATGTGCCTTCTGCTTCTATCGAGGTTCGGGTTCCCCCCCCCCCCCAGTTACAGAACTGAATCCAAAACATCAAAATATCACACTGACAAAGTTTATTGCGGCTCACTTCACCAGAAGCAGTGGAACGGCTAAGCGATACAGGATTTGAATTGGGGTGAGGCGGAAGGGTGTGAGAGAAAGGAGAAGACAGTTATGCGGATACAGGTTACATAAGCATATTAGGGTTATTAAATTAATTAGGTTAATACCATTGCAGTATTAACCGTTGTAATATGTTAAACTCCCTTTGGGTTTGCTGAGTTCTGAGACTGCCTGAAGCCCTTTGATATATGTAACTTCAGCAGCCTCTTGCTCAATGATAGAGCTAGTACTGTTCTGTTTTTTCCAAAATAGTCACTTTTAGGTTTACAGTCTTTGAGTTACAAGCATTCATTCACAACTATTGAAAGTTAGAATGGTAGCTGGGACTTATGACTAGTCCTCGAGGTTGTGTCCATCACAGTGCCCCTATAGTCAGAATTACAGAGTGAATAAAATGAATATAAAGATGTTGAAGAGTGCAGAGAAGAGCAACAGAGGTGATTTGGGGATTGGAAATTAAAGCATACGGTTGCTGGAATGTCTAAGGAATAGAAGGACTAGGGATAACATGATAGCAATCTTCCAATATTTGAGAGCTCTCACAGAGAGGAGGAGGAGGAGGTCAACCTATTCTCCAAAGCACCTGAGGGCAGGACAAGAAGTAATGGATGGAAGCTTATCAAAGAGAGATCTAACCTAAAATTAAGGATAACTTTTTGGTCATTGACAACAATGAGTGGAATGGCTTTTCTCCAGAAGTTGTGGATGCTCCATCAACTGGAGGTTTTTAAGAAGAGATTAGACAGCCACTTGTCCAAAATCATAGAGTCTCCTGCTTAAGCAGGGGGCTGGACTAGAAGACCTCCAAAGTCCCTTCCAACTCTGTAATTCTGTAATATTTACTGTACAAAAGATACCACATACAATACACAGTCTTACATTCATGTGAAAAATATGGAAAATGAATTGCCTTTTTAAAGTAAGTTTACATAAGCTGTTTGGTTTAATATTTTTATTAGAATATACATTTTTGTAAAGATTTCTTACAAACATTTTGCTTTGAATTTTCATTAGTAAAGCAAAATTATAAATATAAATATTTTTTTAAAAAATATTCTTATAAACCTTTTTGAGGTTTGTCCTTTATTTTTTTCCAGAAAATTATGTCACCGTAACTGAAGCATGCTCTGGGGAGGTTAAGGCACTCTGATACTAGTTTAACTTGGTTTGAGTCCTGATGTCAAATTTATGTTCGTTAATTCTTTTGTGCAACATGATCCTGTTTGTCCTATTGAAAATCCAGAAGGACATTGCTGACATAATGACATATATCCTATCACAGGGCACATGTGAATTCGCCTACATTCTTATGCAAGGATTTATACCTGTAATAGTGCTGATGTTGTCAGAAAAGGTGCTGCCAGGTTTTGGTTTTTTTTGCACTATGCGGTAATACTTATCTCGTCCTTAAATTGTAGTTTAAGGTAAATTGACTAACTACAGATTGTCCTCGACTTACATCCAATTGCTTAGCAACTTTTTTGAAATTATGATGGATCCCCAAAAGTTGCTTACAACCTGATTCAAAGTTCCAGCAGCTGCCCCCCTAGTCATGTAACTGCATTTGGCAATCAGCCTGCATTTACAGCCATTTTCAGCATCTGTGGACACGTGACTATGACAGTTTTGCCAAAAAGCAGTGTTTACTGCAGGTTTTTTTTGGCAAAAACACTTCACAGCAAACAATAGGTTTGCCTAACAACTATAGTTGTTAATATCCACAGATTCTTTTCACAACAATGAAGATTCTCTTAACCATTGCTGCAAAAAAGGGTTGTAAAATCGCCCAGTCACATGATGACCTGCTTTAGGGGCATCATGACCTACGACCATAACAGGCAGGCTCTATTAAGGTCATAAGTGGAGGACTTCCTGTATCATTTTTGCTTGTAAACTTAGACAGTGAGATGGGCAGCTGGAGCCCTGGTGAAAATGTAGTATTGCAGGCTGACTCTTGACTACAGTCTGGGGTTCGATCCTGGCAGGCTCGAGGTTGACTCAGCCTTCCAACCTTCCGAGGTCAATAAAATGAGGAACAAGATTGCTGGGGGCAATATACTGATGTTGCAAACTTCCCAGAGAGTGCTGTAAAGCACTATGGAGCAATATATAAATGATATCGCTATGGGCAGTATCTAAATTTAATAAATAAAATTAAGTAGAAATCAAACACATCACTATTGCTAAAAGTTCTAGAACTAGAAATATTCTAGCTAAAACTGTAGGCTTCCTGTCCAATTTCATCCATATCTGCTGAGTTAAGAGTTGTACTCATCTTAAGTCAAGATCCAGAGGATTGCAAGTAATACCTTAATTTTTGTATATTTGGTTATCTGATTTTTGTAGTACTATTTATTTTATGATTAGATGAGCCAGATAAATTTTTGCCATTACTATTTCTCTTTCTCTCTTTTTAAAATTTGTTTTGTTATTTATTACACTAGAATTCAAGGGATTGCCCATTTTTTTACCTTGAAGCAACATTATGAAGTAGGTATGGTTGAGTAATGTTGATTTTTTAAACTCATTTCTTAATCTTAATTGATTAAGCAGAACTTTGTTTATATAATTATCATCGGTTTGGATTATGTTTTATTATTTATCAAACATCATTATCATGACTATTCATACCTAGGATTCTCAAATCAGTGCAACAATTTAAAACCAAGAAATAAGATAGCCTTCTGTTATGACGTAGGTACACAAACATTTTGGGCCAAAGGTCACATACAGGCCAGATCAGGGTGAAAAATAGTAAATACTGCGTATGTTTCTTAAGTATGTTTCTGTTTTTTTTCTTCTAAGCTTGGAATATATAGCATTAGAAACAGATTACTATAGGCCCATTTTGTGTCCATGGTCCACAGACTGACTTTCCTCAGTTGTCATAATGCATAAATATACCACTGTGGCTACTATAATTCATTGTAATTTGAAATATTTGTGATGACCTGTAATTTGAACAAGTCTTCTAAATAAAGAATATTTTGAAGAGGCATTTATTTTCAAGAGAATGTGCATATTTCTTTGAGAGCACATTTGCAGCGATATTTTCTTTACCAGAACAATTACAAAACTTTGAAAGAACACAATGTTCAGGTTATCTTTGTTTTCTACTTACAATGCAAAGAACTGATGACATTCCAGTGACCTTTACTTTACTTCACTTCAAAAGTACTCCTAATTCCTATTAGTATGGTATTTATTGTTTCAGGATTCAGGATTTGTTTGGGGCAAAACTTTTCCCAGTCTTACATTATTAAATTCACAAAGAACTACACTGTCCTCTTTGTGGTTCAGGACTGTAAAAAAAAAAAAAAAAGCAACTCCTAGCCATAATTTACTGATTATGATAACCTCCACTGTTTAATGCAACCAGAGAGCTTAAAAATAAATTCCCTCATTTTTATGTCATGTTCCCAAGTACAGGGTTTTATATGACTTAGACAGTCACTCTCTTGCGACAGGCAGTTGATTTTCTATTTTTACACAGTATATATATTCTGTGTGGTATTTTCGGTTACATTGCTCTTCAGGAGGTACCACATGGCTAGTGTCATTCTATTGGGTAACAACAACCACATCATCAACAACATATTACACTTATATTTTTTGCCTGACTCTAACCAACTCTGGGCAGCTCACAAAAATCAAACAAGGAAATCAATAAAAGATACAAGATAAAACAGGGCAAGCTCCACAAAGCGAGGGGTCTCACTCTCCCTCATCAATGGTTTGGATGAAGAGCCAGGTTTTCACAGCTGTTCTAAACAATAGCAAAATGGGAGCAGTCTGGATTGCAGGGGGAATCTCAGGGGGCAGGCACTGCTAAAGAGGAGGCATGCTACTAGGGTCTCAATACATGACATTGTTTAATCAAAGGAACCCAGAGTGCACCAACCTTGCAGGTTTGAACAGGAAGATGCTTTGGGAAATAGGTGGTCCTTCAAGTAACCAGAACCTATGCCATGAAGGCTTGCAGATAACAACCAGCAGCTTTTGGAAAGACTGTTTTAATTGTTGGTTTTCTTGTATGCCAGCCAGAACCACTCTGGGAGAAATGTGCAGCCATATAAATTTTGATAAATATTATTATTATTATTATTACTATTATTATTATTATTATTAATAATAATAATAATAATAATAATAATAATAATAATAATAAAGTTGGAAGGGACCTTGGAGGTCTTCTAGTCCAACCCCTGCTCAGGCAGGTAACCCTATACCATTTCGGACAAATGGCTGTCCAGTCTCTTCTTAAAAACTTCCAGTGTTGGAGCATTCACCGCTTCTGGAGGCAGGTTGTTCCACTGGCTAATTGTTCTAACTGTCAGGAAGTTTCTCCTTAGTTCTAGGTTGCTTCTCTCCTTGATTAGTTTCCATCCGTTGCTTCTTGTCCTGCCTTCAGGCGCTTTGGAAAATAACTTGACTCCCTCTTCTTTGTGGCAGCCCCTGAGATATTGGAACACTGCTATCATGTCCCCCCTCATCCTTCTCTTCATTAAATGAACAAAGTTTCACCAAGATGTTGAACAAATCATAATAGCTAGATTCACATAACATGCTACGCCAAACCCATAATGTAGCATAGTACAATATTTGAACTTCGTCTTTGCCTCTTTTTATGTTAGATACAGAGAACAACATCTGCATCAGGGGTCAAAATTTGCAAGATGGCAGGTATAACACACGATCCGGGTCTCACCGTTGCCATTGAACACATATGCAAATGCTGTGCCCCTCATTCTCCCCACCTCACTGCCATGGACACTCCTGAATAGCAAACACATATTGCATTATGTATCTGATATTACTTCCATCAAGGTCAATCCTACAAAATTATGCAATTAAAATGTTAGCTCACAGTAGCAGTCAGATTAAAGGCCTCTGGTGGGCTTGCAACCTAGATACCTGTTTTCTTGCTTATGAGCGTCTCTATTAAAATAATAATTAAAGGTTATTTTAGGTATCTCATACATAAAGTAAATTGACTAGAAAGAGAAATATTTGTTCGTTTGCTTGCTAAAGTTTATCTGCTGCTATGATCACAATTACAACTCTCTAGGCAACTTACATAATACATATAATTAATATTAAACCACCGCACCCCAGATTCTTCTCTCGGTTATTCTGCCTAGTGGGATAGGAGCATTTCCTTTTCTTTTTGATGTTCTTTTGGATTTGTCAAAACATCATTTTTTTTATTATTATCAGGGACCACAAATATAAGCTGTGTATGTGATAGAGCTTTTTTTTTATTTTGCAGTTTTATATGCTATTTCATCTCTTAGCTGATTTTAGATTGCTAACATTTTTAAAAACAGCCCTTAATGAATGCTAGTTGCTTTTTATAAAGAGGACAGAATTTAATGTTTTAAACTGATCAATTGATTCAGTTGTGCAATAGGTTGCCAGTGTTAAGAATAAAAGTACTAATGAAGCGTCTAATGATATGATTCATTGGGCCATAATCTGTTAGCATGATAAAGTGACAAGCAGATTCATTGGTCATATTCCTTCCAAATAGCTACTGTAAGAAGATTAAAGTATTGGCTGTTTCTTCTATTAATAGGTAGGGAGGTAGATTCAGTAAGATAGGTTATTAGCATCAGCCATGAATTAAAGTATGGGAACAAAGTACTGCCTTTTAGACTGTGAAGGACCTTCCCAGTGGTCTGAAGACCTGAAAATATCGCTTACTACCTTCCCAACAATGAGGTGGCTTTGAGGTGAGACGAAATCAAACTGAACTAAAGCAGGAATGCCTTGTTAATTTTTGCAGAGACAGCAAAGTCCTCATCTTTGCCTAGGAATTTCATTACACCTGGCATGTTTAATAAATATAATCTATTTAAAGATGTAGATATTTGTTTCTCCTATTGGCAAGACCCAATATTTTCAATAGCCTGCCTGTATACCGTAGTACCAGCCAAACCATTCTCTCTAGTAGTTGCTATCATACAATAGCTTTTAATAGGGACATTTATAATGATTTGGTTTTCCTGGCCCAACCGTTTTAGTGCTTTGTTAGTGCTAGGCTAGGACAACAAGAAAGAGAGACCTGCATAGAGCTGGGCTGAGATTTGAATCTGGGTTTTAATGCCCTTTTCATTGTATTTTCTTTTGGGATTAAACTTTGGAGAAATGAACCCCCTCTATCTCTTTAGCTGAATGAAACAGCAGATTGCCAAATTATCATGCTTGTTTTTAACCATTGAACAAGTAGAAAATTAGCAGAGCAGGAGAGGTTGAGCTATTTTTTTTTCTTCTAGAATGCCTTGTTTCTTTCTTTCTGATGACCCGGCAATTTTTTAACATTTTTAACATTTAAAAAAAGGCTGCCTTCCTGTGCAGTGGGGCTGGCTGCTGTTTTGTGTCCCCACCCCACCCAACAGAGACAATTAAACCTGTTGACAGCAATAGGGCATGTCACTGATTAGTGTATAGTATTGGTTTTCGGGTTTGTCCTTGTGCTTCCTGAGCCTTTAGTGCAGGAGACAGGATATACAGTAAGTTGCTAAATAAATGATGAGGAAAACAATTGACAAATGTTGTCTTCCCCCTTTTTTTTTCTTTTCAGTGCTAACCTGGGGCAGAGCCTAAAAATGGTTCTAGTTTAAATGTAGTAGCCCCCTTGTGGCCATGGCTGCCCTTTTTTCCCACAAGAGCCTTGTTGTGAACAACAAGGACAATGATGAGCTGGAGTTGGAACGGGAGCTCACCCGAAAATTAGAGAACAAAGTCATGCTCCTCTATTTTGGCTCCGGTGAAAGTCCTCGATGCCAAGAGTTTGCGCCCATCCTGAAAGATTTTTTTGTGAAACTCACCGACGAGTTTTATATGGAGCGAGCGTCTCAACTAGTTCTCGTCTATGTGTCGCTGGACAAAACAGAGGAAAAGCAAGACAAGTTTCTGAAGAAAATGCCGAAGCGATGGCTGTTTTTACCTTTCCAGGATGAGTTCAAAAAGTAAGGATCTGAGAATTTAGTTAGGAAAACGCTAGAACTGAGGCTGGGCTCACAGACATATTAAGCCACAATGTGGGTTTGTTTGGCCTTGATTCAGCCTTTATAGTCTATAATATACATGTTATAATTATCAATCATTTGTCAGCCAACAAATTGTGGTGTGAATCTGCTTTAGATGAATTAAGCATACTTATTGTGCATGGTTCATTGATAACTATTCAGTCAGATGTAGATAGGCTAGCAACAATTATTAGCATGCGATAATTATCTTTTTAAAACTAAATTTTATTAAAAGTTTTTGGGAGAACATAGAAACTAACACAAACCAAGGAAATGAAAAAATGAAACAAAAAATAGAAAAGCTTTCAATTTTCTTTGCAGCAAATACAAGTAGGACTACAAACATATCTCTTACTTTACGATATAAAGAAAAGCTTTCTTTTTTTCTTTTACCCTTTTTTTCTCTTCTACAATTCTGCAATTGAACTACAAGCCATAAATGCATTTTTTTTCCTGTTTCACGCAAAAAGTCTAGAGAAGGTTTCCAGTCAGTCATAAATATAGATATTATCTTTTCTCTGATCAAGAAAATTAAAGTAGCCATCTCTGCAAATTCCATCATTTTCACTAACTATTCGTCCATTGTTGGTAGTCTAAAACTTTGTGCATATAATAGTCTTGCTGCATTTGTCATATATAAAAACAAGGTTTCTAGTTGCCTGTCCATTAGTCCCAAAATAATACCTTCTGATATTAATGCTACTTTAATCTTTAAAATCTCCTTACGTAATGTATGTATTTATATCCATATTTTCCGGCTTTTTTACATGTCCACCAAATGTGATAAAATTCCATGTTGTTCATATTTCCAGCAAAGATTCAAAATATCGTTAATACATTCTAGAAAATTTCTCTGGTGACAAATACCAATGAGACATCATTTTATAAAAAACATATTTTTAAGGCTAGAACATGATGTAAATTTAAATCCTCTGAACCACTTATTTTCCATTGATCATTTATATATTATAGCCAATGTTTAAGTCCATTTTATCATACATTCTTTCACTTATTCTTCTGTCTCATATTTCAGCAAAAAATATACATTTTACCAATAATATGTTCATCCTTAGTACATGATTTTATTTTAAATTCAATCTTACTGATAATTGTACCTTAAGAAAGCCATTGGCAACTTTATCCTTCTGTTATCAAATCTTCTCTTGATTTTGTTTTGCAATTTCCTTGGCATCGTAGTACATCATGGTGAATTAACCATTTATGTTTACCTATCATTCTCATCTATGTTTCTTGTGCTGAAAGCCACAAAAGTGTTGCCGAGCACAATGTAGACATATATTTCATACTAGTGTGAAAACTAGTCATGTCACTTTTTTCACGGCTGTTATAACCTCGAATGGTCACTAAATGAATGGTTGTAAATCGAGGACTACCTGTACTTAACTAACTAACTAACTAACTAACTAACTAAATTGTAGTCCATAAGAACTGGAGAGTACCCGTATCCATTTAGCCTTCCTTAATATTTTTAGAAAGCTATTTAATTTTACAGACTTGTAGCTTGTATTTGTTATTTGATGATGCTAAATATTGCTTTCATGGTTTAATGTACAACCCATCTTTTAAAACACTATTTTCCAGAAGTGGGTCTAGTGGTTAAACTGCCTGGCCTAGAGAACAAGACACTTTGAGTTCTAATCCTGCTTTAGGCATGAAAGCAGGCCGGGTGATTTGGGGCCAGTCATTCTCTCTCAGCACAACCCACCTCACAGGGTTGTTGTTGTGGAGAAAATAGGAGGAAGAAGGAATATTTGGTATGTTCATTGCCTTGAGTTATTTGTAAAATAATAAAAGTGGGATATAAAATATATTGCAGTATGTACTTAAATTAGTGGATAAGATAAAGGCTTGGCCTGCTCCTGTCAGTTCTTTTTGCTGGAGGAATGTGCTGCTCCTAAGTGCACATGAGGTATCTCAGGGTGGGAAAGGCCATGGGGGGGCCTAGTGATGGAACAGGCCCTGAAGGCCTCCCCAACCCACTAAGATACCTCATGTTTCCCCCTCCCTTCCTTCCTGAGCGACTCCGATGCCACTCTTTGCCCCATAGGCATGCAAACGAAGCAAACACTTTCCCTCCCCCAAGAAAATGGAAGCTTCGGGGGGGGGGGGACATGAGCTCTTTTGCAGAGAATGGGTGTTTGAAGTTGTGCGAGATCACGGACCTCAGAAACTTCCACTGTCAGGCGTGAAAAGCATTTCCAAGCCGACTCTCCTCTCCCTCAAAGGGAAAGAAATCACGGCAGAGAGGAGACAGATCTTTGCAAGATAAGTGAGTCCAGCGTGGCAGGCAGTAAGGGGGAAGCAGTCATGGGGAGGGGGGGGAATAGGGTGAATGTTGCAACCATTCGTAAGGGCGAACAATTGCCATGGTGCTGCACCATTCGTAATTTTGGGAATTGCTCATAACCACTAGAGGGTGCTTGTCATGTAATTTCAAACAGACACTAAGTGAATACTCATAATTTGGGAATTACCTGTATTATATTATGGTCCAGAAAACTCAGCACAGAGGTCCTGCTGTATGGCTTAAATCCTGCTTTAGCAAGAGGGTGAAAGTAAAACTTTCAGACTAGCAGTTGGAGAGATCCAGCATGAAGCTCTTGATTAAGCAACAGCTAGGCTCCAGCTGAGCAACATTGTGTAACAAAGGAGCAGCAGCTAGAGAGATAGGACACCTTGTCCTTATGTATCATTATAGCCAGGATCCAGAATAGGGTTGCTTCTCAAGGTTGCTTAATGAGCTTCTTCACCAACAACTCTGAGCTTATTTCTATCTACCTTCTTACGGTGGCAAACAGATATAAAAACCAACCATACAGATCCATTAAACAAACTGGGTTAAAGCCCCTAAAAAATCACATTATCAGCTCTTCAGATAAACGACATCCACATCAGAACTCTACAAACTTCCCAGCCCCTGTGCCTGGGGAAAGATTCAATTCTGGAAGGCCAGCAGGGTCAAGGCTATCTATATTTAGGGAAAGGGAGGCTGTTCCACAGGACAGGCACTGTGACAGAATTGGCACACTTCTTGTGGTGCACCAGGTTGCACTGTTCTGCTGATGGTATCCAGAGCATGTCCATTCTGCTTGATCTAATGGGATGATGAGAAGCCATCAAGGATAGGTGGTCTTGCAAATAATAATAATAATAAATAATAATAATAATAATAATAATAATAATAATAATAATAATAATAATAGTAATAATAATAATAATAATAATAATAATAATAATAATAATAATAATAATAATAATAATAGTTGGAAGGGACCTTGGAGGTCATCTAGTCCAACCCCCTGCTCAGGCAGGAAACCCTATACCATTTCAGACAAATGGCTGTCCAGTCTCTTCTTAAAAACTTCCAGTATTGGAGCATTCACCACTTCTGGAGGCAGGTTGTTCCACTGGTTAATTGTTCTAACTGTCAGGAAGTTTCTCCTTAGTTCTAGGTTGCTTCTCTCCTTGATTAGTTTCCATCCGTTGCATCTTGTCCTGCCCTCAGGCGCTTTGGAGAATAGCTTGACTCCCTCTTCTTTAGGGCAGCCCCTGAGATATTGGAACAGTGCTATCATGTCCCCCCTCGTCCTTCTCTTCATTAAACTAGACATACCCAGTCCCAGCAACCGTTCCTTATATGTTTTAGCCTCCAGTTCCCTGATCATCTTTGTTGCTCTTCTCTGTACTCTTTCTAGAGCAGACATGTCAAACTCGCGACATCACATGACATCGCGTAACGTATCTGGACTGTTTTTGCCATTGCCGCAGTTTCCGTGTGATGTGTCTGGCCCGCGGGCTGGCAGTTTGACACCCCTGTTCTAGAGTCTCAACATCTTTTTTACATCGTAGTGACCAAAACTGGATGCAGTATTCCAAGTGTGGCCTTACCAAGGCATTGTAAAGTGTAATCTGGCCCCATTCCAAGCAAAGTTTAAAGGTGACAACCAGCACCTTGAATTGTACCTAGAAGCCTAATGGAAACCAGTGCAGCTCATGTAGCAGCAATGTTATGTTATGGTGTGCCCAATACTGCAAGTAATACTGCATTCTGGATCAATTGAAGCTTGAAAATGCTCTTTAGTGATAGCCCCATGTAGAGCATATTACAATAATTCAGTTGGAAGGTGACCAAGGCATGAGTTACCATGAGCAGTGGCTCCCAATCTAGAAATGGGTACAATTGGCTCACAAGATGTAATTGTGAAAGGTGGCCTAGATAACGCCACCGCTGCACCTCAGGCAGGAGTTATGAATTCAAGACAATTCACAGATTATATACCAATTCTGCCTGGGGTAGTGTTACCCCATTCAGAGTTAATGATCAAAATCGCAAAATACTTAGGACACTAAAGCCCACAGCCATGAATCTTGTCAGCTGAGGTTGGTTCTTCCCAATCCAGGCCTATTACAGCCTCCAAGTACTGAGAAAGCACCTTGCAACATCATTTGGATGGCCCAGAGCAGAGATAAATGTCAATTTTTTTAAACCCTGGGTTGAAAGATGACCTAATATTAGTTTTCATGTTAAATAGGAGGAGGAAAGACCTCACACCAAGAAGCAATGGAATCTCCCACACCCAATAACTGGAAGCATCTTCAGAGGAAGGAGAACCACCAAAGGCAGGTGGACTCTCCCTCTCCCACAAGGAAGCATTCAAAACTATTTCGGCCCAACTGCATGTGACTTCTTGGGAAGTCTTAACCAGTCAGGAAATACATGCGTCTAATAGTCCCAGGGCCATGACCATTCTCTTGGATGTCACTGAATTGAACTCAGCTCAGATAAATGTTCAGGAATAAGCAACGACCATTTCCATAGAACCAGCAGAATGGGATGACAGTTTCAAGTGAATCTCATCATACTGTCTTTTTATGACTAGGGTCTCAAGATCTGAAATTTGTTAGGGGCTTCTTCTTCACCTCTGAACATCCTTTGATGATGTATATTGAAGAGTATATACATCTTCTGGTTCTGGAATTTTACCATTTTTGGTACTGGATACGATAGCACTATCACAGACAGGCCCACCAGTCTGGGTATGCTAGACACATCACTCCTGTTTGAGGAGTAGGTGGTAGTCATGGCTAAGAGGGCCTTTGCACAGCTTTCTGATGTGTGCCAGTTGCACCCCTTCGTAGATTGTTAGGCTCTACTCACTATCACTCATACCCTAGTCACCTCCAGAATGGATCACTGTAATGCTCTTTACATGGGGCTGGCCTTGAAGAACATCTAGAAACTTCAGCTGGGCAGGGGCCAATGTTGTGGCCCCTGCCCTCAGGAATGTTATCCCCTCCAGAGGAATAATATAGCCAGAGGTGAGGTTAGTCCCACCTCTGTTAACCTCCCAGAAGGCCCCTGAAACATTTTTTTAAGATCCCATGGAGAGCTTGCAAGGTGGTTGTATGAGGTCACCTGATTGTTGTTCTCCTATAATAGTTGGATTTTTAAAAATTTTTATTTGTTTGATTCTTTGATTGTTTTTTTATTATGTAACTGTTATATAAAACTACTGTGTACCTTTGAACTGTTCGTATGTTTGTATATCACCCAGAGTCAAGTCTATGTGACATGGACAGTACTATAATGGCATGTTTTGCATTTCCCTTCTCTTCTCTATATTGTCGCTGGAAGCGGGAAGATTAATTATATGATGATGTCACAGGGCTAAGTAAGAGATCCAACCTGTTATTGGGAAAAGGGAAAGAAGTTTACAGATAAATGCTTTAAGGAAGAATCCAAGGGTGACCCATGCTAAATTTGGGGAAATGATCAGAGTGCATTGTTAAAAATAGTCTGGTAAATGTAACTTTGAGACCTTAGAAGATGGCAAGGAAAATGTGAAGAGGAGACCTAAAGAAGGTTCTACTCACAGCAGCCTGAGGGCATTAATCATTTTTATCTTTCTAAACTCATTTATTTTCACAACAGCAAAAAAAAAAAGATGAAAGCACCAGGATATCTTTGTTAGACTACTAATAAAGACTTTCCTTGCCCCCCCCCACGGCAGGTGCAAAACCTCTTCTTAATAAATTGACAACACATGCTTGGTACTTGTATATGTTGATGATAATATCCAATTGTTGTATCTGAGTATAACTATACAAATAAATGAATCATTGTAAAACATTAATATAATTTTAGATCTGTGATACATCTTTTCAGCTCTCCTCCTAAGAAAATCCCAACATGTTCCAGCTCAGAACTTTTGTAACTTATTTTTTCTTTCTGCAACATTCCTAGGGAGCTGGCATTAAGATTTTCAGTGACTCATCCCCCTGTGGTGGTAGTTTTGAAACCAAATGGTGAAGTCATTGACCACAATGCTGTGGAAGAAATCAAACAGCTAGGCACAGCTTGCTTCAAGAACTGGCAAGAAGCAGCTGATTTGGTGGACAGGAACTTCCTTTTATCTGAAGACTTCGAGGATGTGACCCTGAGAAGTATCACTGATCCCATTCGGCGGTTCAAGTACAAACTGCCCAAGAACAAAAGGAAAATGAGAAGTAGAGATGGTGATAAGGGTGAAGTCTCCTGATGAGATGTTTCTTCTTGGAACTTCAGGTTGGTGAACTTGAGTATTCCCAAACCATTGCCTATGAACAGGTATATGTGTCTATTAGATATCTACAACCGTATCAACCAGACACAGACATTTTTAATTGCAGATGTATTTCTAGTTTTGAAAATCAAAAATATTTTTTTCTAAAATCTAGAACTTGCAGCTATGATATTATTAAGTATGTATATGGTGTTTATTTGTAATTGGAGCCTGGAATGAATGTATGTCATAATGCACTCAAAATACTCAATAGGTCTGGGAACACTTTGAAAATAATTTGGAAGAGCTTCAGACCTCACATGCACACAACATGTCTCTTTCTTCAGACTTTCTGATAAGCCTGAAAAAGCCTTGTCTATTGGAAAGGGTGAAATTATTAAAGTCACTGTGACCCTTAAAGAAGCTACAACTTTTTTTGATATACTTTAGGCAGAATTCTGAAGATGAGTAGATGTTTTAATGAATAGTTGACTTGCCACAGATCTAAAGCACTTCTTCCAAAGACACTAATTTTACAAGCATGCATAGCTCTAGGATAGGGATGTCAAACTGCCGGCCCATGGGCCGGATGCATCATGGCAAAACCGTGCCCACCCCATTGCCAGCAATGGAAAAAAAGTCACGATATGTCGCAACATGTCACATGACGGTACGGGTTTGACACCCTTGCTCTAGGAGACCATCAGGGTTGCACTGAGATTTTTTTCCTGGAATAACAGCAGAAACCACACAAGATAAAAGTGAAAACAGCTTTGTTTGCATACTTTACCACAACACTTTTCATGCAGATCTGCCTTCTGAAAGAATCCACCAGCATTTCGTTGTTTGCAACATCTCATTTAATTACAGTTGGGGAAAAACACTTTGTTGCCAACTCTCAGTATTTCTTTTGCTTTTCTGGCACCCAACTTTATCTCCTTTCCAGAGTCAGTGTTCCTAAGCTGATAGTCTTCCTAGTAAGCAGTTCTTTTTGGGCAGGCTGCCACTAACTCTTTTAGTAGGAGAGGAGGTTTTTCTTCCTAGATGAACCAGGAAGTCTCTGTATGTTGTAACTCTCAGGTTTTCAGTGACTCTAAACTTTAATTGCTTGTTTTGCCAGTGGGTGCCATTTAAGGGACTAGCCTTGCAATAGGCAGTATAGTCAAGCTTATAAAGGTGTTTTAAAAGAATAAATCCAAATATACGAAGCCTTATTGATGACCTAATACCATCTCTTCTCTACAATATTCTTGTTGGAATACATGTTATAATGTATTTTGTATTGCAACAGCTACAGAATTATTTAGCCAGTAGATGGCAGTGTTTAGTTTGCATCTATGGTTACAATCTATGATTTCTATAAGTTCTGAGGAGAGTTTCCTGTGACAGTTAAAAAAGCCCATTAAGCAGCAAAGCTCATGGTGATTGAACATTGTACACTTTATTTTGATCTGTCTGACTATGTAACCATCCTCTGCTACCATTTCTGTAGAATAAAACAGAATTTCTATACAATAAAACAGAATTTCTAATACTTCTCTATTACCATTTTTTCCACAGGAACTCTTGATTAAAGGAGAACCTTCCCACTTTCTTTCAGTCACCCATTGGCCATGCTCAACTTCCAAATAACTCTTTCTCCTAAGTGCCAACATCCTTTCTTAAGGACCCAATGAAGCCAGAATTTTAATTCTGTAGTACCATCAGCCCGTATAGCAATGCTATATTTGGATCAATGAAAATCTAACTGTTGTTTTTAGAGACTTATTGTATATTTTATTTTATCTGAAAATAGAAACTGTCCAGACAGGGTTAGGCAGAATTTGGATTGAAGGAGTAACAATAGAATAGTATTGTTTGTTAACAAGCAGAAGTAAAAAAAGAAAAGTAGATAATGTTAGTTTTGTGACCTTTGGAATAATGAGCAAGAATTGTTATTTCAAGGAAATTTAATAAATTTAATAAACACAAGCAATAGAACATAATGATATCAAAGTTTAAGATTTTAAAAGAGCTGATTTTAACAAACTCTGAGAGAACTTGGGAAAGATTCCTTGGATGAAAATTCTAAAGGGGAAAACAACTCAAGAAGCTTGCAAAACTGAAAAATATGATCATAAAAGCCCAATCCAGCACAATACCACTGAAAAAGAAAATCAAGAAATCTAAGAAGAAACCAGCATGGCTGCACAAAGATCTGATAAAGACAAAAAGGACAAGTACAAAAAATGGAAAGAGGGACACATAACTAAGGCAGAATATCAGCAGACAGCCAGAATCTGCAAAGAAGTCAGGAAAGCAAAGACTCAACATGAACAAAGACTTGCAACAAAAATCAAAGATAATAATAAAAAGTTTCTTTCAGCATATAACTAACAAGAAAAAAATCAAGGAAACAGTCAATCCACTAAAGAGAGAAGAACAGGCAGCAGAGAGAAAGGAGAGCTACTAACTCATTCTTTGCATCAGTCTTCACGCAAAAGAAATTATAGCCGAACTCACCAAAAACATAACTGAAAAAGATAGACTAGAAATAAAAGTTAAAATGAACAAAAAAATGGTAAGAGAACACCTGTCCGATCTTGATGAACATAAATCACAGGGACCTGACAGACTACACCTGATCCTAAAGGAGCTGGCAGATGTCATCTCAGAACCACCGTACCATATCTTTCAAAAATCCTGGAGCACCAGGAAACTACCAGAGGATTGGAAAAGAGCTGATGTGGTTCCCATCTTCAAAAAAGGAAAAAAGAAACAGACCCAGGAAACTACAGACCAATCAGCCTAACATCAATACCTGGGAAGATACTGGAAAAGATAGTCAAAAAACAGATCTGCAAACATCTAGAATTGAAAATCAAATTCCAAAATGAAATTCAACGTAGAGAAAAGTAAAGTCTTACACTTAGACAAGAAAAACCAAATATATAGATTGGGTGAAACCAGGCTTAATAGCAGCAACTGTGAGAGGGATCTTGGAGTCTTAGTGGACAATCAATTAAATATGAGCCAACAATGCGGCGGCAGCCAAAAAAGCCAATGAAATCCTAAGTTGCATCAACAGAGGGATTCAATCAAGATCACGTGAGAGATACTAATACCATTCTACCACACCTAGAATATTGCAACCAGTTTTGGTCTCCACACTATAAAAAAGATGTTGAGACTCTAGAAAAAATGCAGAGAAAAGCAACAAAGATGATTAGGGGACTGGAGGCTAGAACATATGAAGAACGGTTACAGGAACTGAGCATGGCTAGTCTAATGAAGAGAAGGGCCAGGGGAGACATGATAGCAGTGTTCCAATATTTGAGGGGCTGTCAACCTATTTTCCAAAGCATCTGAAGGCCAGACAAGGAATAACGGATAGAAATTGATCAAGGAGAGATTCAACCTGGAAATAAGGAGAAATTTCCTGACAGTGAGAACAATCAACCAATGGAACAGACTGCCTTCAGATGTTGTTGGTGCTTCATCACTGGAGTCTTTCAAGAAGAGACTGGACTGCCACCTGTCAGAAATGGTGTAGGGACTCCTGCTTGGGCAGGACAATGGATTAGATGACCTACAAGGTCCCATCCAACTCTGTTATTCTAAAAAAAAAGTGGCAGTTGACACATGCCACACATTTTTTAATCAGACGCCTTAGAGAACATATAAGCAGTCTTCGAGAGCATACAACCAGAATTAGTTACAATTTCCCTGTTCTACGACATGAAATTCAGGAGTTGAAACATTCGTGTAATTTGGGTTTGTACTGTTATTGCTATATTTTGATCTAAGAATTATAGTACTATTTATTTATTTATTTAGAAAATTTTCTAAATTAAGTAATTTTTTTCTAGCTATATTCCTAATAATTGAGAACTATTGAGATATCAAGAATTATGGATAATGCATCATCATCACAATCATGAAAACCTACAAGCATTATTTTGTCTAACTTGCTACAGTGATTATTTATTTTTAGTTAGTATGGGTCCTGCTGTTTTCTGCAACGTGAATGCATAGTAATCCTGTTGTTTGATTAAATAGAATTTTTAAAAAAAGAATGTTGCCTAATTTCTTGTAGTTCTTTCCATCGTGATATATTTTCATGCAATTGTTAAAATGTTTTCTTTTTTAGATCTAATACAGTGTTACTTCATGCGTTCTTAAGTATTATCTTCCTAATTTAAATCACGTGGTACTGAAACAATCTAAAATCTGTTCAAATTGATGCTAGGCTCCACTTTTCTTTTAAATTTAAGACTGTAAAGAAGGGAAGAAAGGGGGGAAAAAACCCTTTACCTGCTACTTTTTCCATACTGGACCTCTGTTCCAAGAACAAGAACAAGCTAGGCTTTTTAATTTTGTTTTTATCTTTTCCCAGACTAGTTAAGAACATTTTTGTTTTCTTTTTTGATATAAATGTTTTTGTTCCTGGTTGGATTATTTACAAATGAAAGGCTTTTGTTCCTGAATTTGAATAGCATCTTAATCTTGCAAATTGAGCACATATGGCACAGTGTTTAGCTTTAGAAAGCTGTTGATCTGGATTTAACTTCAAACAATGAATTCACCATGTGGTCTTAGCCCATCTTCCATTCTCTGAGAAGTCTCAACCCCAATCTGCATATGGTATCCAGGATCTACTTTATGCGGATGATACTGCATCATAATTAAATATGCAGAATTTTAATATTGGAAAACAGTTGGCTCTACCTCAATATATATTGTCTTAGTCCAGTGATGGCGAACCTTTTAGAGACTGAGTGCCCAAACTGCAACCCAAAACCCATTTATGCATCGTCGAGTGCCGGGTGGGTTAAAATTGACTGATTGAACCCTTTCTTTTTTTTTTTTGCACACGGCGGCGGAGGCCTAAAGCAAAAAGTTTTTATAAAACCCAGCTGAAGGCCTAGGACTGGGGCGATGGCGCACGTGCCCACAGAGAGAGCTTTGAGTGCCGCCTCTGGCACCTATGCCATAGGTTCGCCACCACTGTCTTAGTCTTACAACAGTCTTACAAGGTCTTACTTACTTAACAGTCTTACAGTCTTACTTAGTCTTACAAGGAAGGACAGGCAATCTTGTTAGTTCTGAGGGCTATGTCAGGTATCAGGCCATAAAATGTGTGCACATTCAGATAAAACACATGCACAAATATTCATTGCATGTAGAACCACACATCTGACTTTATCGTGCAATAAATTAATATTATCTCCATTCTGAAGAGGCGGGGGGAGTCATAAGATACTTAGTGCCATTTTCCAGATCATGATGTCTTCCAGATATTTAGGACTTCAGTTCTCACCATTCTTGAGGGTATTGTGATAGAAAAAGATGTAAATAACAAGGGATACTTCCCTTGTTCATAATTTAGTTTTTAAACTATTTTCTTTTTTTCCCCTCTCCCACACTAAATTTCTGCAATTTAGCTTGCAAGCACAAGTTCAAAAATGCAGACAGGCCTTCTCCCATTCAATTGTGACTCCCATTTGGGAAGGTTCCCCTTCCACCTGTGGCCTTTGAACTACACCTTGAAAACTTTTCCTAGGTATTCAGGTAGGAAGTGGTTAATAAGAGAGAGTAAAGCAGGATTGTCTTCCTTTCAAGTAGTACAGAGATACTGTGGGAAGAAGCCTCTGATTTCATCACTCCTGCAAAAGGAATGTGGAAAAGCCGCACTGTCTGTCGTTCTTGTGTGTATAACCCAAATGGCTCATCCATTCCTCACTGATAGGGGACGTGTCCTGGCATTTCCGCATCTAGTTCTCAGGTGAAATTGAGAGCAAGAATGGCAGGTCGCAGCTGGACACGTTCTGATCTCTAAAGGTACAGCATTTCAAAGAGAAAGTGAGCAGGAGATTCACTTTTTGGAAAATATGAGGCATTCTTCTCCAGAATTAATGTCACATTCTAGGAAACACTTTTCTTCAATAATCTTTCGGGGAACTCTTTAAAGAACAATTTCCTCCCTTTTCGTACTTGTTTTTCTCTACAGAAAATGCAGGCTTGCTTTGGATTGTGTTTCACAAAACTGTCAAGCTGGACGTTTTAATGGAAAACATTGTGTTCATCTTAATGCTGAGAAATTGAGGACATCTGTTCCTCAACCTATCTAGATCGCTGTCCTCTTAACGTTCACTCGAATTATGAAGATTTTTCAGCTGCCCTTAATGGACTGTGACTTGCCAGAGGAATTGTTAGATTTTTATAAAACTACAGGAATATCTTTCTGGAAACTGAGGATAAGGCACCAAGGAAAAGCATAAAGATTTGGAGACTTGAGAATTAATTGGGTTGATGTGCTACAGTAGGTTTTGAAGCTAGCCCGAATACAGAATTTGCTAGCATTGAGGAACAACAGTGGTGAATATAAACTCTAACTGGAGTCCGAGGATGGATCCCAATGATTTTAGATACCCTTGCAATGGCAAGCAGTCAGCACTGGATGTTCAATCCTTAACCAATAATCCGGAACTCCTGAGTGCTACTTGGGCCACCGCAGAAAGCCTGGGTGGTAGTAAATTCTGCTCTAACAGGCTCCTTCAAATCACCAAGAATCTACGAGACATAGATAAAAAATTCCAGTGTTTTCGGGAACTTTTACAGCAAGATGGTAAGTACTAGAAGTTTTTTATTTACTGGAGTGTGTTTTGTCAATTTCATCTTGTGCATTTATTTATTAAACAAATTTATTTAGCCACCCAAATCACACACAGTGACTCTGGGCCGTGCACAACATTAAAAATCTGCAATTAAAAATTCACAATTTATCACCGTCCCCCACATACCCTCCACCCCATGGTGCTGACAGCAGAATCAGACAAGCCACTTAATTGGCTCCAAATGTGATCTCCAAGCCTGCTGACCAAACCATGGCTTCAAGGCCTTTTAGAGAAGTAACAAGTTGAGGCCAATCTTATCTCTGAGGGAATGATATTCTATTATTTATTAAACAAATTTAATAAACATCCTTTAGGTGATCAGAGGAGACTACTA